GTCAAAGCGGCGGATCGCCATGGACCACAGCAGTGTCTCAATTTCCGCCACCCCTAGTTTCTGCCACAAGCACAAGCTCTGTCGCAATTGAGCAGTCTGATATCACAAACATAAAACCAGCCCAACAACCTAACCTGACCAAACGAGAACCCAAGGCAGCGGCGGCCCTCAGAACACCATGTCCAACTCGAGCTCGTCCGCGAGCTACAAGCACCAGAAGGAGGCATTCGTCTCGGGTCACAGCGGCGGGTCTGTCGCCGAGATTTGCTCCGTGATAGGTGTTGCGCCAGTACGTGGGTTGGTTATCTTGTCGAAACCGCCTTGCCCCTTTTACACAAGTCACATCTCACACGCCGCGTTGATATACTCCCACAGGTCGCCATCACCCTCTGGTCCGTCTTGCAGGCGCGCCAGTCCTTCTTCCAGCCCTACACCCCTCTCGCCTTCGCCGTCGACTTTCTTCTCAACGTGTGCGCCGTGCTTCTGGCCACCACGCTCTACTCCGACACCTCGCTCCTCCTGAGCCTGCTGCTGGCCGCCCCGGCCCTTGTCATCTTTGCGCTCCCGCCTAGCCCTTCCTCCTCTCCCTCCTCGTCCTTCTCCTCCCGCCCCCGGAAGAGGCCCAAGGTGCCGCCCAATGCCGAGTCCAGAAAGGCCGCGGCCCAAGGGGGCGCCGACGCGCTGCCCTTCAAGGCCTTCCTGACCAACTACCGCGGCAGCATGATGGTGGCCACCTGCCTGGCCATCCTGGCCGTCGACTTCCGCCTCTTCCCCAGGCGCTTCGCAAAGGTCGAGACCTGGGGCACCTCGCTGATGGATATGGGCGTGGGCTCCTTTGTCTACTCGGGCGGTCTCGTCGCCGCCCGCCCCGTGCTCAAGGAGCAGCTCGCCGGCGGCGGCCGCGGCGGCAGCCGCACCACTACCACCACCCCGCTCGCCCAGCGCATGCTCTGGTCCGTGCGCCACTCGCTGCCACTCTTCGCCCTCGGCGTCGTGCGCCTGCTCAGCGTCAAGGGCCTGGACTACGCCGAGCACGTGACCGAGTACGGCGTGCACTGGAACTTCTTCTTTACCCTCGGCCTGCTGCCGCCCTCGGTGGCCGCCGCCCAGTCGGCCCTGCGCCTGGTGCCGTCCTTTGCGGGGCTGGCGCTGCTGCTGGCCGTCGTCTACCAGGTGCTGCTGGAGAGCACGGATCTCAAGGCCTTCATCCTGGCCGCCCCGCGCACCGATCTCATCTCGATGAACCGCGAGGGAATCTTTAGCTTCCTCGGCTACCTGGCCATCTTCCTGGCCGGCATGGACGCCGGCATCAAGGTGCTCCCGCGCAGCCCCGGCCGCCGGCCCCTGCTGGTCAAGCTGGTCTCCAGCACGGTCTTCTGGTCCGCCTTGTACATGTTTGCCACGAGCTACAGCTGGGGCGCGTCCCTGTCGGTGTCGCGGCGCATGGCGAACCTGCCGTACGTGCTGTGGGTGGCGTGGTTCAACTCGGCCACCATCCTGGCCTTTTACCTGGCCGAGAGCCTCTTCTTCACCCCGCGCGCAGGCAGCACAGGTGCGGCGGCGGCGGCGGTGGACCCGAGGGTCGAGAAGGAGACTTACATGGCCGCCAGCAGCCGCGTGCTGCGGGCCATCAACCGCAACGGCCTCGCCGTCTTCCTCGTCGCGAACTTGCTGACGGGCCTGGTCAACATGACGGTGCCGACGCTGGATGTTGGGCCGGCGGCTACGATGGGGATACTGGTGGGCTATGCCGCCACGTTTACGGGGGTCGCGGTGGGCCTGGACATGTACAACATATCGATCAAGCTCTAGGCTTGCTTCTTGGGCATCGTACCCGAGTGGCAGCGTGTTTTCGCACGTATTTGCAAAAATGCACTGCAAATTCACATGGGGCAACTTACCAGCCACCCACTCATGCCCTTCCCAGATATGAACGATCAGAGCAGGAATGAGCAATGAGAAACATGGCTAAGGCGTCACGGAAAGCATTTCTTCACATGCAAGCTGCCGTCAAGTAGGAGTGTGCGACAGCGGGCAGCGTCTGAGACGGTGGCGTCAGTGGGATAGGGGCCGGCTACATGGAAGAACAACTGCGGAACGCAGGGAGTCGTCACACAACGCAATCCATACCAGATGCCTGTCTCAAAATGGGACCGGCCATATAGGTAGGCGTGCAGTGCGTGCGTGCGTGCGTGCTCCAAAGCAAGGCCCTCTGTCATGCATGGCGCCCCAGACAAGTCTATTTGGCGTTAGTGGTCTGTGACGACGACTCACATGTACACAGGAATTCCGGGGATGTGGCTCTCGGACAAGTCCGGCCGGGGGTTGTCGAGGACGCACAATCCAGGAGCAAAGAGGCGGTGACGAGGGGGCTCGACCACATGACCAGTGCCGGCCGGGGCCGCCAGGACGGAAAAATGGAGGGTGGATAAAACGAGGCGTGGAGATAAAAAATAAGTGAATAAAATAAAAATAAAACGAAGTCGAAGAAGAAAGGAAGCAGATTCGCGGGATGGAAGGGTGAGAGTGTCTGAAGCGACGGCTCGCTTCTGGCTCGTTGCTTCTTTTTCCCTCTTTCCTGGCTGTTTGCGAAACCGGGTATAATACAGCCTCTCCTTGGTAATATTACTCGAATCCCAACGCATGTCGTCGCCCTACGGCGTCCTCCGAAAGGCAATTTGTCCCTGATTTAAGGAGCGCAGGCCGGCAGGGCAGTTCAGTCAGCCAGCCAACCGCACAAGAGTCAACAAGCCTGGTTCCTCGACGCGTCAGGAAAGACGCACGCGCCCAGACTTTTGATCGACGGCTGCACAAAATCGCAATGCCCACCACGACGGGTCTTGTTCACCCTGGATCTACACAGAGCACACACAGCTTTTCTCTCCGGCGGATAGCATTCCGAGGGAGGCCACTCTGGAGACCAGGGTTGGGTGGGTGCAAGGATGAAGGATGACACCATGGCTCAATCAGAGGTTCAAGCTCCACCAAACAAGCGTAAACTTGAATTTCCCTTCGGGCTGCGCCCCGGATTGCCTCATCTCCGATATCAATGCTTTTGCGTTATGTGACCCCTCGTCATACAGCATAGCTGATGGGCTTGCGGAACTCCTTATAGGTAGGAACTATGATGACAAGATTGTGAGTGTGAGGGGTGGTGCGAAAGATATGTCCCAAAATGGCAGAAAGTAAACAAAAGGCTGAGGGAGGTATACTCAGTTTGCCCTATGGGTGGTGCGCCTGGCAAAAACACTGTGCATTCAAGGTTTCCATTCTAGCTCGTGACGGTGGGTGTATCCTAACTATCCTAACTCTTAGTGGCTGAAGGCGAAAAAAGCCACGAGCACTCTGGCTCGTCTTGGATTGCCGGGAGCGTGCGGCTAGCGGAACACGCCCGCCACCACATATTCCTCCCCCTCCCCCGCCGGCTAGCCTGTGTGATCTAGTGGTGCCCGTAGCTGCATGTCTTGGGATTGCCGATCGGACGTTGGGCTGGTTGGACGGAATTTGGAGGGGGGCGGCGGCTGGCATTGACGTGGCATCGTGGCAGATAAGCCCTCCCAACAGCCGCGAAATGATTTGTTTATGCGCCTCCCGGGCTGCAGCAAACAAAACATGAGCGGGGAGAGAGAAAGGGCAGGAGGGGACGAAAAAAAAAAAAGTCCGTATGCCTTGGACATGGGTTGGACCAAACACGGGGCGCGAAACGCACACCCACTCACTTTGCCCCAGCATTTACACCTGCATTTCCGGGCAACCGACAAATGTCCCTCAATTGATCCATCCATCACCGCGAGCCAAAGATGCGGGAGAAAAAGCGCGAGACCAAACAACGACCAGTCTCAGCCATGTCCTCTCACAGGGCTCCAGTATCAAAAAGGCGTGCCAAGCAAACGACCAGCCCAGTGGCCTACCGCCACTCGACCGTAGACTGGGCAAAAAAAAAAAAAAAAAAGAAAAAAAAACCCCTTGCGCCAGGTGTGCATTGCCTAGCGCGGCTGGGCTAGGCCTCGTTTTGGACGTTCTGCACAGGCGGCAGGGGTTTCCTTCTTAGCCGCAGTGCCTGCCCCGTTTGGACGTGTCGATCGGTGGGTTTCCTTGGCTATTTCTTTTTTGGGGAGGGCAGCCAGCCAGCCAACCAACTACCCACATCGTCCCCGTTGAGGATGGAGAGAGAGACAGACAGGCAAGGGGAAGGGATCTCGATGGTCGGAATCCAGAGGCGCAAGGCAAGGGGCACATAAAAATCATATCTAGCACATGGACGGGTTGCATCAAGTCACAAAGTGAAACCCACGAACGGCTGCCCCGCGAGGAAGCTGGAAATGACGATGGATTCGCAGCCCATCCATCCCACCGCTTTGGCAGAGTAGCATCGGCCCCATCGTCATCAATGCGATGCCGTGGCCGCTGACAGCTGTGGTCCACCCTGGGGGGTCCTGCCGACCAGGGATGGCGGCTGCACGGGATTTGACTGTGACAGGGCCGAACGCATCACTTTTGGGTTCGTGTTCTTGGGTTCGTGTTGTTGGGGAGTGTTTGCTCAAGACAAGACCGATGTACATCACATGGCCAGAAATATTAAATATTGCGCAAACATTGACTGATAATTCCATCTGGAGGCGTAGACTCTATATGGGCATATGTAGAATGCATGTGTACAAGGGGTATGTAAAACGGACATGTAAAAATGGACACGCCTGCGCCAGTCGGGTCTGCCGGCCGCGTTTTCTTTTCTTACAGCGAGACAGCATTGATAAGTGACGACCCAACCCATATTCAATCGCAGCACCGCAGACGCCTGTATGTGCCAATGGCCGCCAGCAGTCAACCAGGCCGCTGGCAGCAGGGAGATTGCTGGCTTCATCAACCAGCCAGGCCCCCCTCATCGGCAACGGGATGCTGTGGAGGCATCATGCAGAACCAACGCAGGCGCCTCCAAGTGCGTGCATGTCGCATGCCTATGCCCACACCTAGCACTTTACCGTGTGCTGCACCGGCCTTCCCAGGTGGTAGGTACAGTGTCCGTGGGTGTAGGACCACCAAGGAGAATTTGTTGCAGGCAGAATGGGTCGAACGGCTGGCCGCGAGGCGTTCTGGACGTTGTCGGCTTGTCCGCGCACGCGTCCGCGCCGCTCCTTGTCACACCGAGCATGGTGGCGCTGAGCATATGCTGGACATATCAATTATCATCATGCCCGACCCTCTCGTGCTCATTCTCATGCCATCAACCGCCCGGGCCGCGGCTTCGGGGGGTTTCGAGGGCTCCCCCCTCCCCTGCTGGACCTCGCTCGCTGGAGGGGAGGGTCGGCCGGCGGGGAATATGAGGTGGTAATCTCCAGGACCCGTTTTATGCCTGCATTTCCGACCTGTTTGCTCTTGGATACCTGGAACATGCAGGGCAGGTCATAGCAAACTCGCGTACCTTCTTGGCGCAGGCGCCTTGCCCCATCGCCCGCCCAGCATGCCATCCCGCGCTCGCTGGAGGGCGGGTGACCCTGGAAGGGGGGGGGGTTTACCTGTGCAGGGAGGGCACCGGGCGGCTGGTAGTGGCAGGGACGCGACGAGACCGACCAGGCGGGTGACAGACACGATCCAGGGCTGGCAGGATGGAGAGTCAATGCCGCCAGAAGCTGACATCAATTTCCATCCATTGACGCTCCACGTCTTTCGCTGCGGGCACTTCAGAGCCGAAGGCCTAAGTACTACGTACGGTGTGGCCGCCCCACAAAAGTCAGATTGGGAGCGGGGTTCTTGCCCTCCCGAATGGAGACTTTCGCTTTCGAGGGGCGTTTCTGGCGAGGGCGGCTGAAGCTCCTCTCAAGCTCCTCTCAAGCAGCCAACGAGTTTGGGGGCAGGCGCAAAAGAGCTGCTCGGCCAGTGGCTCAGGGAAAAGCCTAGTCGACAACACAGGGTACGCTTGGCGATGGGAGAATCTAAGCAGGTAGCTCGTTCATAAGGACCAGGTACATATCTGATCTTAGCTGGCGCTTGCCCAGTTCGCTGGTCTGTTCGGACCATCAGATGTATTTGCCCGAGCTGGGCGCCCTGCTGTAGTCTATGGTTCGTAGCCTGCGTGCCGTGGTATTCTGGTAGTGGTGCCGCACGCAGTCCCGAAAGGGCCAACAAGAGCTCGATTGTGGTTCGTCGGTTGCAATTCAAGTGTGTTTATTGTTGACACCACCTCCAGGCTCAGGCTCGGCAGCGGCCGCGGCGCCCTGGGCCCTGGGCCCTGGCAGGCCATCCCAGAAGCCCCAAGCGCGCCGCACCTGGCCTGGCCACCACAACTCCTGCGCCAACCACTGAGCCGACGACCCTGTCACGTTACCGCGCAGGGGTGCTCTGTCTTGGGGGCACTGGGGGTTCTCGTCTAGGAGCAGCGCAGGACAGCGGCACCATAGCGGAGTCGCGTCTCGCATCAACATCGGCGAACGGACCAGCACGAGAAAAAAAGAAAGGGGACGGCATATCTTGTTGCTTGCTCCTGCACACACACCACCACCCCCATCCCCGATCAATCTGCCACCCATCATGTCCACACAATGACAGCCCGGCCGATTCATTGGTGACTCTGGCGACGTCTCGCTCCCCCCAAACCAGCCGCCGTCCCGGTTTCATCGCCTCGGGCTGCCGTCTAGTGCCAATTTTGATCGCTGCTTGGGCTTTGCTCTGCTCTGCTCGCTCTGTGCTCTGTCTGCTCGTGCCGTGCGCCTGTCAGCGAGAAGGCCTGGCCTGTTCGTCAACACGCAAGCCACCGCGGCAGGAGCTCCTGTCCAGAGGCCTCGAGCCCCCTCTCGTGCCAGCCCGACGACGCAACCACCCTGAAAAAACAAAAAAAGAAGAAAGAAAAAATAATAAAAGCCAAACTTTCGTGTCCCCGAGGCTGGACAATGTCTTCGGCTGCAATCCACGCCGCACCGCAAGCATTAGCTCCCGCCCTCAACACACCGCCTCTGGTCACGGCATCGTCCTCGGGCCGTCACGCCTACGCCTCGTCGGCACACTCGTCGCCCACACGCGAAGGTTATCATGCGAACCCGCAGCACTCGAATTCTCCATCGCAGCGACAATCTCGACGTACCACCGCCGCCGCCGACCCTTCCGCAAGCTCCCACCAGAACAGCGCGTCGCCCGTCTCACAGTCCAATTCCCCAATGAGCTCGCGCGCCGCCATTTCGTCCCCGGTGGCAGTCGCCACTGGGACCCCCGAATACCAGACCGCCGCCGCCGCCGAGCGACGCAGGCACCACGCCCCGTCCAACGTGCCGCCGCGAACGTCGTCCTCCCACCAGCCCTCGGCCAGCGGCCAGTCGTCGAGGAGATCTGCCGCGGCCAACGAACGCGCCCACAACTCGCCGAGGCGCGCCCCCGACAACCGATCCTCCAGTGCTGACCAGCTGCAATCGCCACACGGCGAGCAGTCCCCGGCCAGCTCGCGTCGGAAGGAGCGCCAGCACTACGTGCCGGCTCCTCCCAACGACGCCCGGCGTGGCGGCAGCAGCTCCCGCGATCCCCGGGCATCTGCCCCGGCAACCACCATGCCCATCAGAACCCAGACGACAGCCTCCTCCTCGGCCGCCTCGTCGTCCAGGGGCCCCTCTAGGGAGGCCAGCGAGATTCTTCACAGCATGATAATATCGCCACCCGAGGTCGATATAGATCGCGAGAAGGAGCGACTGGCCCAGGCCCAGCCGCACCCGCTAGCCTCGGCTCATGGCGTCGACGACGCTGCCACGCCTCCCGTTGTCTCCCCTGCTGAGGCGCGTGGTACTCGGAGTCGACACGATCACTCCAAACGCGAAAAGCAGACGAAGTTCGGAGACTACATCCTCGGCAACACCATCGGCGAGGGCGAGTTTGGCAAGGTCAAGCTTGGGTGGAAACAGGAAGGAGGAGTCCAGGTAGGCAGCACCAACCTGGCATCCCCAATCCCGACTGCGCTCCACGTTTGCTAACAGACAATTGCCTCACAGGTCGCCATCAAGCTCATTAAGAAGGATGCTCTTGGTAGCAACCCGAGCCGCATGAACAAGATCATGCGCGAGGTTCAGATCCTCAAGCAGCTCACCCACCCCAACATCGTCAGACTTCACAGGATGGAGGAGTCAGAGAGGCACTATGGCATCATCTTGGAGTATGCATCTGGTGGCGAGCTCTTCGATTATATCCTTAACAACCGATATCTCAAGGACAACGCCGCCCGCCGCCTGTTCGCCCAGCTCGTATCCGGTGTTGGATATCTGCACAAGAAGGGAATTGTGCACCGAGATCTGAAGCTGGAAAACCTCCTGCTCGACCGCAACCGAAACATCATCATCACCGACTTTGGTTTTGCCAACATGTTCGACCCAGTCGAGGAGCTGACCGAGGACGAGGAGGCCGGCTTGTCGGACAAGGAGTTCGTCAAGAGGATGGGGCTTGACAAGATCGGGTCCAACAACTCTAGGAAAGGCGACCTCATGCTTACAAGCTGCGGAAGCCCATGTTACGCTGCTCCTGAGCTGGTCGTCAGCGACTCGCTGTACACTGGTCGCAAGGTCGATGTCTGGAGTTGTGGCGTCATTCTTGTGAGCAGTCCTCCCTTCCCCACAAAGTACAAACTGGCTCGAGGGCTTGTGACACTAACCCCGCGTGACAGTACGCCATGCTTGCCGGATATCTGCCGTTCGACGACGACCCAGCGAATCCCGAGGGTGACAATATCAATCTGCTGTACAAGTACATTGTCAACACACCCCTTACCTTCCCCGAATACGTCACCCCCCACGCCAAGGACCTCCTACGCCGCATCCTCGTGCCGAACCCGCGACGCCGAGCAGATCTCTTCGAAGTGGCCCGGCACAGCTGGCTGAGCGAGTACGCTCACGCGGTCGAATTCATCACCAGCAGCACCACCACTCACACCGACATCCAGAACACAACCGTTCCCGCCGAAGACGTGGAAGAAAACGGCGGTATCGTGCGGAGCGCTTCTGTGCGCGAATCGTCCAGGAAGACCCCCGTCTCCACCGCGGTTGGAGGGTTGGCCACCAAGCAAGGCGGCATTGACCAGGATGTGGAACACGCGCGCCAGCAAAAGGACAACAAGCGTAGAACCGTGCAGGTCGAGTATGTCGCGCCGACCACACAGACACAGCGTGGCGAGCCGTCCAACGCACAGTCGACGCCCAAGACCAAGACGCGTGCCAGGTCGGGCAGCGAGGGCCCTGTCGAGGTTGTCTCAACATCCCCGAACGACAAGCCCCTTCCGAAGGACCCGCCGGTTACTCGAGACAGTTATGTGAGGATGTCATCCAAAGGAGACCCGCGGAAACCGCCGAGCAGCCACCGAAACCAGCCCATGACGACGAGGCCGCCCGTCTCTTCGCGCGTGGGACCCGAGGGAGCCTACATGACTGGAGCCGGTCCGGCAAGGCCCAACACGAGCGGATCGGTTGCCTCGAATGGGTCGCGGGTGCCGGGAGCCGGATCTCGATCATCGTATGGCCAACCACTGCCCCCAGCGGTCGCAGGTACTAACGCTCACGGAAGGATACAACAACCGGTCAGTAGTGGCAAGCCCTACGTCGCGTCCCCGCTGTCACCGGACGGACAGCATCTGGAATACGGGCGGCCGAGCGTCAGTGTGCCCTCCAAGTTCGCCAAGGTTTCAGGCTTCTCGGGCGACGGTGAGCATGCCGAAGGGTCTGGCGGCGGCGCCAAGTCGGGCCACCGGAGGTCAAACACTCTGGGCGAGATCACGGGCAAGATGTTTGGAAGGAGCGGGTCGCTGTTTGGAAACAAGAACCGCAAGAAGACGGAGCAGCAGCAGCAGCAGCCTCCGCCGTCGCAGCACTCTCACCAAGCCGAGCCCAAGGGCAACCGGAGATATCCCCCAGTCAGCATGATGTCCAACACGGTACCATCGACTCCCGGCCTCGAGTACGAGAGCCGCCAGTCGCTCGACTCGAGGCGATCGCGGCGCTCATTCTCGTTCGGGTTGGGCAAGAAACGGTCGGGCAGCGTCGCCGGCTCGCAAACGTCGCTGGACAAGCAGACCAAGCGCTTCTCCTTCATTCCCAACTCTATTTCGCTCAAGGCCATCGGCCTCGGCAAGGACGTGCCCCCTCCTGCGGATGAGTCGCAGAACGACCTCCCCATCCAGGAGCCGCCCATGGTGGGCCAGCATGGCCGATATGTCGACCAGCGCCTGGGTTCGTCGCACAATGTCAACGCCGTCGCCATTGACGACATGTACGCTCAACTGTCAGATCCTCAGCATGCCGCGGTCACCGCGGGCTCGGCCCTATCGCTCTCGGGCCCGACCTCGGCGCAACACCAGCGCTACCCCTCTGGACAATATGACGGGAGGCAACAAAAGCCGTCGGCGGTTCCCGGTTATCTTCAACGCCCGGGGGCTGGCTTCGATTCGGGCTCCGAGTCCTCGGTGAACGACCCGCGCGCCGGGCGCATGCCACCCGGCTCCTCGTCGTCCTTCCAGCAGCACCAACGGCCACAAGACCAATACAGCCTGAACTCGGAGCAGGCGGGATTCTCCCAGAGCGCATCCAACGTGCGTGGGGGCCGCGGCATGCTACAGAAGCCAAAGAGATTCGTGGACGCGTATGACACGGACGAGAACTCGACACGGGCGCACGACCACGGTGGCAGCAGCGGAGCTGCGCGACGGGTTATGGACTTTTTCAGGAGGCGGGGCAAGGCCCGTGGCGGCGACGAGAGGTAATTCGCCTCCCGAGATGTGGCTGTGTCTCCTTGCAAGCTTTAATACTATTATCCTTTTTCATACCTTCCTCTTAACCAACTCTCTGTGTCTCCTGTACTCTTCATGTGTCATCTCCGATATCTAGCTTGTCCTGGCCGGTTTGTTCTGCCACATCCCATCTTCCCTTTTTTTCCTCCACATTTGGCACGCTGCTTCTCGCAATCTTGTATGGGCCCAGATGTTCTGAGCCGCCTAGGCAGCTTTCTGACCCGCGGCCAGATGCTTTGGGTAACTCGAGGCTCTTTTTGATGCCATTCCCTCTCACAACCTTCCATACCATCCTCATAATCCCCTACACTTTTCCTTGGGGGGTTTGCCAGTTGAAAACAATCTCCCCCGAAAATGCCTGAACCATTTCCCATTTCTTTGCTTTTGTAATAGACGCATTCGGTGATTTTCAGAGGTGCGGTTTTGTGTTTTTTTTTTGAAGCCTTTTCTTTTCACTTTTTTTTGCCGCTGAGTTTTGGGGTCGGTGAATATTCTTTGTCGTTTCCAGAAAATAATCAAGCCTACCGAACCGTTGCGGACACTACGCCGGGATAAAATTCCCACAGGACGTTCCGTTCAGTCCGTTTATATGAGGTGAAAGCCGGATCCATAGGCTCTGTGTGATGCCAATCTCCGGTGGGCAAACATCATCAGCCTCGGTTTTTTTTTCGCGGTGTGTAAATGGGTACGTAGGCATCGACTAATGCGATCAGACCCCATAGCCAAAGCAAATGTGTCAGACCCAAATTGCCATTGCGCGAACAAGCGCGAGCAGACAGGAACTCACACGGATGGCGTTGGCGGACGAGCAGCGGCAGCGGGTACATCGACCCCTCCGCCGGAGCGTGCTCGAGGCCGTCGGGGGATTGTTTGGGTGAGACGCATTCTTGCGGCACTCGACCTTCAGCCCTGCCCCTCGGTGTCACATGCATACGTGCACGGCTGGGGCGCAGGCTTATCTGTGGCCCCCCTGGCTACCAAGTTGGCAGGACCGAGGTGCTTTGTTGCCAGGTAGGGGAGGTCAGAGGAAGAGGGGGGGTTTGGTTTGTGTGGTGATTGATGTTCACTTCTGTCAGGTAGGTATACGTGTACTTACTTGAACAGGTAGGTAGGGAGCTGCATAAGAACTGAGCAGGACATGGTCGAGGTGTTGGCAGCAGTCGCAGCAAGCTTGCTGCCCCTGTCATTATCATTGTGGCTCGGGGGCTAGCAATTGAAGCTCACTAAAGTGGAGACGAGACGTGCCTCGCAGCAATCAATAATTGACTGCAGCTGTCCGCCTTCGTGATTGGAGCTGGGGAACTAACTGGAGCCGTGTTCCTCTCACAGTCTGTCTATCTACCTGCCTACCTGTCTTTTGATATTTTCGCAAATTGATGTGATATCTGCACTTTGATCGCCCCCAAACCAACCCCCAAAGATGGCCTCTTTCAGCAACTACCCCGTGGCCCAGGAGTGTCCCCATACAGAATACAAACACGAGTCGGACAACAACCCCGTCCTGAGGGGCCTTCCTTTGGCCGTCGCGGCGACCATGTGCGCACCTCCGCCTCCCCCGTATTCTTAAGCCGCGACTGGCTTACTGCCTCTCTGGCGCCTTTTGCTGATTCCATGGTGCAGCGTCAACAACTCGCCCTACCTGCAGCGCTTCTTCTGGGCCAACGCCAAGTTTGGGACCATCAAGGACATTGCTAGCCTGAACGATGTGGACTACAGATTCCAGGTGAGTGAGATTGGGCTGTCCGTCCGACCCTGGTAGCTTTTTATTTTATTTTTATTTTTTTATTATCACAACCCAATATCAGGCGTATGCAAAAACTAAACACAAACCAAAAAGCCCACCGTCATCCCCCTTCCGGACGCCGGCGTCACGGCCGCGACGGCCGCGGAGCTGACGGCCTCGGAGGACCCGGCGCACCCGCGGCAGGCGGCCGACCTCGCCGGGCGCTTCCACTCTGCGGCCGACTACCACGCCGCCTACCGGGACGGCTCGGCGACGCCGGTGCAGGTGGCGCAGGCGCTGCTCCGGCTGATCCGCGGGGGCCCGGAGGGGCACGCCACGGCGTGGACGGCGTGCAAGGAGGACGGCGTGCTGGCGGACGCGCGGGCGTCGGCGGCGCGGTGGGCGGCGGGCGAGCCGCTGGGCCTGCTGGACGGGGTGCCGTTCGGCGCAAAGTGCGACACGGACGTGGCCGGCTTCGTCTCGACCTACGGCATGCGGCCCGACCCGGCCCGCTACGCCTTCTTCCGCAAGGTGGCCGACAAGACGCTGTGGCCCGTCCGGAAGCTGCAGGAGGCCGGGGCCGTGCTGGTCGGGCACATGAATATGCACGAGGTCGGCATGGGTGCGTATATATGCCTCGCGGTTGTGTTTTTTTTCTGATGGACTGGGCACGTCATCTGGTGGTAGGAGAGGCTGACTGACGGCACGCGGCACGCTACGCAGATACCACGGGATGTAATGTAAGATGTCTCTCGAGCTGGCGATGAGATGCCGGTAAAGTATCGCACTTGCTGACGCTCGAACCTCACAGCCCGCAATAGGGACTCCTGTCAACTGGTACAACAAGTCTTACTACCCCGGCGGCTCGTCATCCGGCGCTGGCTCTGCAGTTGGCGCGGGCGTCGTCCCAATCGCTGTCGGCACCGACGCAGGTGAGCAAACATTTGGCGCTTTTCATTTTTGCTTCCTTTCAACTAACAATGCCTTACCTGTTATTCGGGCACCACTCCCTAAACTAGGAGGCAGTATCCGTATCCCCTCATCCTACAATGGTGTCTATGGCCTAAAGGTCACCCACCACCGCACAGTCGCCATGAACTCGAGCGTCTGCGTAACTGGCCCCCTGGCCGCCACCGTGGCTGACCTGGCTCTCGCGTACCGCGTCATGGCCCAACCGAACCCAGAGTGCCCCGTCCAGGGCCAGTTCGCGCCGCCTCATCCCTCGTCTGCGGCAGCAGCGGCCGCTGCCGGGGGGCCGAGCAAGAAGGTCCTGGGAATCTGTCGCGAGTGGATCGCCGTCTCGGACCCCGTCGTCCGCGAGCACTTTGACGCGGCGGTCGAGCACCTGCGGACCAAGGCCGGGTACGAGGTGGTGGACATCAAGCTGCCGTACCTGCGCGAGGGCCAGCTCGCGCACGCGGCCACGTGCCTGGCCGAGGCGGCCGACTCGGCGCGCGCGCGGGTGCGGCCCGGCGAGGGCCACTGGACCGACCTGATCGGGCACGCGAACCGGGTGCTCCTGACGGCGGGCCAGCACGCCGGCGCGCTCGACTACCTCAAGTACGCGCAGATGCGCGAGGTCCTGATGCGCCACCTCGCCTTCCTTTTTGCCGAGCACCCGGGCCTGCTCGTCGTGACGCCCACGACGCCCAAGGCCGGCTGGAAGGCCGTGGCCGGGGACGAGGCCCGCGGCTTCAACGACGGCAACCGCAGCATCCTCAACATGACGTACATCTGGCTCGCCAACTCGTCGGGCTGCCCGTCCGCCTCGGCGCCCATGGGATACGCCGACCCGGAGCAGGGCGAGGGGAGAGTCCCGATCGGCATCATGGCCATGGGCCGCTGGGGCGCCGAGGAGCAGGTGCTCGACTGGGCCGGCGACGTCGAGGCGTACATCAACGGTGGGGGGTATGAGGGTGGCAGGGTCAAGCCGGCAGGCTGGGTCGATGTGCTCGAGGCGGCCAAGAGGGGCTTGGGCAAGGGGAAGGGTGGTGATGATGGGAACGAGGCCTGATGTGTATCTAGTAGCGATGGGGGTCGAGGTAAAAGACAGGACAAGGAGAGGAAAGGGGGCCGAATACAAGCCAAGGGTTAGGGTAGCTGTAAGACCTCTGCTGGCACCCTTGTCGGCCCATAGAAATTCTTTATCGATAGCGCTGCTCGGGGCGGTAAGACGCGATTTTGGCAGTAAAGTGAGAAAAAAAAGTTCGCGGCCCCACCAATCGATATCTTTTTTCCAATCCAGTCGCCGCCGCTGGGGTAATCGAGCTGTCGTCGCTGGTACATCCTCATTTTCTTGCGACAGCGCAAAACACGCAGCCTTGAAGTGCTGCCGCCGCCCCTTAACACCCTCTCTCCTTGAAGCACCGCCTGGACGAGGTCCAGACAGACACCCAGGCACACACACACATCCACAATGGGCCGACTAAAGAAAAAGGGCGAGGCGGGCGCGGCCAAAAACTACATCACGCGCACGCAGGCGGTGCGCAAGCTCCAGATCAGCCTCCCCGACTTCCGCAAACTCTGCATCTGGAAGGGCATCTACCCGCGCGAGCCCCGGAACCGCAGAAAGGCCAGCAAGTCGGCCACGGCCTCGACCACCTTCTACTATGCCAAGGACATCCAGTACCTGCTGCACGAGCCGCTGCTGGCCCGCTTCCGCGACCAGAAGGCGCTCGAGAAGAAGATCTCGCGCGCCCTCGGCCGCGGCGACGTCTCGGACGCCAAGCGCCTCGGGGGCAACGCCGCCCGCCCCGATAAGACGGGCCGCCCCGCCTACACGCTCGACCACGTCATCCGCGAGCGCTACCCGACCTTTGTCGACGCCCTCCGTGACCTGGACGACTGCCTGTCCATGCTCTTCCTCTTCGCCAACCTGCCCTCCACCTCGTCCGTGCCCGCAAAGATGATCGCCCGCTGCGAGAGGCTGTGCCTCGAGTTCCAGCACTACCTCATCGTCTCCCACAGCCTGCAAAAGTCCTTCCTCTCCATCAAGGGCATCTACTACCAGGCCAGCATCCAGGGCGAGGACGTCCTGTGGCTGGTGCCCTACAAGTTCAACCAACGCGTCTTGGGCGACATCGACTTTAGGATCATGGGCACCTTTGTCGAGTTCTACATGACCCTGCTCGGCTTCGTCAACTTTAGGTTGTACACCTCGCTCGGCCTCAAGTACCCACCGAAGTTCGACCCGACCAAGGACGACATGTCGGCCGAACTGGCCGCATTCACACTGGAGGGCGCCGGCCTGGCATCCAAGTCTGCACTGCCGGCAGCCGCCGCCGCCGCCGCCGCCGCCTCTGACGCCGCCCCCGACCCCAAGCTCCAGGCCAAGGTCAACAAGCTCGTCAAGGAGCTGAAGAATGGGGAGGACGACGGCGACAAGCCTAAGGCTATCACTGATGGCGAAGAAGAGGCCGAGAACGAGCAGTCGACCGAAATCGACAAATTCGAGCCGGCTGCCCCGGGCGGCGACGTCCTTCTTCAGCCGTCCTACAGCACTTCGGACCCGTCGGCCCTGTTTGCCAACTGCACCATCTTCCTCTCGCGCGAGACGCCGCGGCAGGCGCTCGAGTTCATCCTGCGCGCCTTTGGCTGCAAGCGCATCGGCTGGGACCAAGTTCTCGGCGACGGCGCCTTCACCACGAACGAGCTGGACCCGTCAATCACGCACCAGATTGTCGACCGGCCCATCGTGGAAGCGGCCCAGAGCGAGGGCTCCGAAGACCAGGAAATGGGCGAGGACAACCAGACTTCCCAAAAGGTTGGTCCGAACCGAAGGGTGCCGGGCAGGATATATGTCCAGCCTCAGTGGGTCTGGGACAGCATCAACGAGGAGGAGCTTAAGGAGCCAAATCAGTACGCCCCCGGCGCCCAGCTGCCGCCACATCTGAGCCCCTTTGTCAAGGCCCGTGCAGGCCAGTACGATCCCACCGTCCCACTCGAGGAGCAGCAGACCGAGGCCGAGGCGCTCCAGGACAGTGACGTCGAGGGCGAGGAAGAGGACGAGGAGGCCGACGAGGCGTCAGAGGTCGAGGATGACCTCGCGGTCAAGGCTATCGAAGATGGTGAGATGGCTGTCGCTGGCTCCTCAGACGAAGAAGACGAAGAGGAGGACGACGACGGCTTTGGTGGCTTCTCCGACGCCGAGGGAGCTGAGGAGGACGAAGAGGACGAGGAAGAGACGTCGGCGGCTTTGCAGCGCCAGCTGGAGCTGGAGGCCGAGTTCTCTGGAAAGTCGGTCAAGTCCAACGGCGCCAAAACGGCGGACCCCCAGGCCAAAGCCAAGCAGCAGGCGCGCAAGGCGCTCAGCCAGCGGGCCAAGGAGGAGGCCGAGGACCTGGAGCGGGCCAAGGGAATGATGAGCAAGAAGAAGCGGAAGCTCTACGAGCAGATGGTGTACAGCAACAACAAGAAGGACGCCGAGTCGGAGAAGCTTAGGCAGAAGAGGAGGCGAATCGAAAAGGAGAAGGCCAAACAGGCCAGGCCGTAGGCGGTAGGTAGCCAGGCGGCTTGGGATATGCGGCGTTCTGTGCTTGTTTTTTCTTTGCTCTATGACGGAAATAAAAATCATCTTGGAGAACAAGGCCATTGAATGGACTTTATCCAGTCCGAGGTCGGTTGGGTCGCTTGGGATGGATCATGGCTAAAGCCGGATTCGAGGGCTCACTTTGTTTGCACATATTCAGTGTTTGCCAGTGACGGTTGAAGTCGTTGACGGCGTGACCTGGCATCCGGACCAGCGTGGCTCCTCAGGTCTAACACGGCTACAGACGGTTAGTCACTCTATTCGGCCGGGACTCAATAAGGGCAGGACGGGTTCGCTGCTATTGTGACTCTGGCCCAATGGCACGGAATCACAGCGCATCAATAGCACAATAAGAAGACACAATACGACGATGCGGCGACACTCGGGCCTGACGGTCACGCCCAGGGCCCAGGTTAAAAACTCCGTCTGTAGTTTTCTCGTCCTTTTTCTTTTCTCATCGTCGCTCCTCATCTCGTACTCTCGCCAGCTTGCTAATATTCTCTAATGTACACTTGAATATCCAACTGCTGCTCCGCGAGCAACCAACACTCTCTCCCCGCACATCTCGCTGCCATGCCGAGGCCAAAAACACCTAGCCCATGGCGGCCACCTCGCATAAGTCATCTTCTGCCGCCTCTGCTCCTCCTGCTGGCCGGGTCGAGCCTCCCACTGGCACACGCAGCCCCCAGGCCGGCCGCGGGCCCCGTCGCGGGCGTCGTCGTCCCCGGCCACAACAACAACAGCAACAGCAACACCACCACCCCCGAGCCGTGCAGGCCGCGGCCTCACGTGGCGGACTCGGCAAGGGGGAAGATAGCCGTGGGGAGAGGAGGAGGAGGAGGGACGACCGCCGGCCCCCCCTGCGGCTTCTACGACGGCGACCCGGCCCGCCCGCTCGTCCCGCCCGGCGGCATGGGCTGCAGCGCCGACGAGGCCGCGCGCGTCTGGGGCTTCTGCCCGGCGGCGCGTGGCGCGGGGGGCTCGTTTGTGGATCCGGGGCCGCCGCCCCGTCGGGGCGGTGCGCGCTCCTTCGCTTCTTCAGCTCCCTGTAAGCTCACGACGACCTGCTACGACGCCTTCGCCTGCAAGGAAGGCTGCGGCGTGGCAGACGAGGGGGGTTCGGACGCCGTCGACGAGGCTGTCCATGGGGTCGATGAGGGGATAAAGGGCGATGATGATGGGGGTGAAGATGAAGATAAAAAAGGCCGAGGCGGAGGCGACGTGGCTCGCCACCTCGCCCGGCTTTCTGGCCGCTCGCTCGCAAAGGTGATGTGGTGAGTCATTCGTTTCTGTGTTTCCGTCCTGTGTTTTTGGTGACAAAGTGGGCGGCGTCGTCGTCGTCTGCTCGATGAAGGATGTGGAGAAGGAGATGATTATCAAAGCCGCTGACCAGATGGACCACCCACGCGTACTCGTGTGTTGCGATGGTATTATACAACACAGCCCGCAACACGACGCCTCAAAGTACTGCAACATGGCGGTTTGGATCCGCCGCGACGACGCCCGCTTCACTAGCTTGACGTGCGGCACCGCCGCCGGCTCCACCACGAGCATCTACGAGAGCCCCCGGACGACGGCAGTACTGACGACGACGACCGCCGCCGCCGCCGCCGGGGGTGGTAGTGGCCCGGGAGGCGGCGCGCCTAGCGGTATGTGGAGTTGGCCCAGTCCATCGTTCCCCTTGGCCTCGTCAGCAGGCAGGGTCGGCGGGGGGAGCACGTGGGGGTGGTCGAGCGTGATGACGACGACGCGCGGGCAGGCGGCCGTTACCAGTACTGGCAGTTCCGGCTCCCCTTCTCGGGTGCCTTCGATGACGACCGCAGGCCCCGTCGTTAGGGAAAGCTCCAGCGGCACGGATGTGGGTGCCACAAGCTCTGCGGCCGGCGGAAGCAGCGGCAGCAGCAGCAGCAGCAGCAGAAGCCGCAGCGGAAAGAGCACGAGCCGGAGCAGCGATCCCGGCGGCTCGACTGGTGAAGCCCTCCCGGGCCCTGCTCCTCCTACCGGCTTCGTTTCCAGCCCGCCCGTCGCTCCGACCATACAGACCCCCACGGCCCGACGCACCCGGTCCGCCCGTACCAGCGCGGCAACGCGCGTCTCGTCATCACCCCCTACTAACCCATCTATCGTCGAGCCACCAGCAGCAGCACCGACGTCGCCCACCACGTTACACTCGCACTCGCCGCCGCCCTCGCCAACAGAAGCATCATCCACCGGCACCACGTCAGCAACAACGGCGATGACGACGACGGCGACACCGCCCCTGGACAACAGCGACCCAGGCGCCCCCGCCGACCACGCAGGCGAACGGGGCAGGGTCGCGGGCGCCGTCGCGAGCGCGCTCGCGGGCGTCGTCCTCGCGGCGTCGGCGGCGCTCTTCGTGGCCTACCGCCGCACGCGCCACAGGTTCGGTACGGCCATGCAGTTCATCTACCGCTCCTTCAAGTCCAGCACCAGCAGCGGCGGCTTCGGCGGCGCCGGGGAGGGCGGCCGCGCGAGGCCGCGCGGGAAGCAGGGGCGGGGGGACGTGGGCTGAGGGACACAAAGCTGTGTCCGTCTGCTTTTCGTTTTCTTCTTCTTCCTCCTTCTTTCTTCATCCTTCCTTTTCTCCCCTGGTCCGTCCTCTCCATATTGCATAATACTTCCATGCACAGTGGCCTGTCCCCTTTTTCATACTTTTCGTGGTTCAAAGGATAAACCTGCTCCCTCCTTGCTCCATCTCTGACCTAGGCATACTCGATCATCCCTATCAACAGCTCAACGAATTGGTGCCATGGGTTTCGATCCGGTGAACTCACCGACGACGGCCTCGCCCGCAGCTCAACGGCCGGCAGCAAAAGACATTCTCTTCAGCGGTAGTTCTAGTCTTGTTTCGGCGTCAGAAGGGTAGGTGATAGACTGTGTCTCAGAAGTGGGTTACTCGTGGTGTCGGGAGAACAGGTAATGCTCAGCTTGTAATTTCTGCTTGTCTCAACGAGAATCACTGCCATGTAGGCTACTGGCAATGGCATATATAATGAAATGGAAAAGGGACACGTCTACGTGTATCTATTAGAAGAGTCCTAGAAAAAAAAAGGCCGCTCTTTCTATCCCTCAGTCGACAAATTCTTGGCCACACCCATGTCGAAATGCTTGTGTAAAAGTCACATATGACGGAAAGACACAGGGGAAGGAAATAAAGAGATTGTGACAAAAGAAATAAAGTCAAAGACAAGACATAAAAATACAAGCTTGCTGCGCGGTGTATTCCTTCTTATTATAGGCCACATCCCAATTCCAGAACACCCTCTCACACAGCCACTGGTTTTCTACAGCCGGGGAAGAAAACACGAGGGTGAAACCCGGCCAGGACAAATACCTCTTTGGCATATTTCACTCGGTGCGCTTCTTTCCTTCTTCGGCGCTGACGAACCTGGCCGCGCTGAGGCCACGCTCGTGCCGTGCAACAAAGGGGCCGATCACCTTGTCTTTCCTAACCTTGCTGATGGTCTGCTGATAGCCCTCGGTAGCCCAGGGGCGTGGGTTGAGCTTGGGCCAGTTGACCTATCGGCATCGGTGACCATGGTTAGGCGGCTGCGCAACGAGGATAGAGGGGTTAGGGGGCTGAGAAATTCGATACTCACATATAAGATGCCGTTGTTGACAATGAATACACCACACCACACCGCCATAGCAAAAAACAAAAAGGTAAAAAGCCGCAGGGGTAGCACAGCCGAGTTGGGCATGCGCGGCGTGAACAATGCCACCAGAACGAAGAAGATACTGAAGCCCAGAATGTAGGGGATAGCCTGCACCATGACCGGGCGGCGATCCACAAAGATCAGGCCGCCGGCCGCCGCCGGCTGGTACGCGCCCAGGAACAAGTCGAAGGCGTCCTGTCGCGGCCCGTCCAGGAAGTTGTTGCGGAAGTAGCGTGTGATGGCGATGTCGAGATCTCGCAGCGCGCCTGCCTTGGTGCGGATGCCCATGCGCGTCATGTCCGTCTTCATGGCGCCCGTGCCCGCGTAACTACGCGAGACCACATCGGCGTTGTCGGCCCAGAGGTTGCGGTAAAGATGCTCAAAGATGGCGTCTTCCTCCTTGAACGTGCGACCCACCTCCATCAGCCCAGCGTCGACGAAGATGCGGTCCAGGGTCCAGCGTGCCAGCATCGACTGCACGACATTGGTCCGGTCCAGACAGTCCATGCAGTTGGTGCGCACAACCGAGGTCTGGTACGTACGCACCTCGGGCCGCCCATCAACGGCCGAGGGTGAATCCGAGGCGCAGAAGTAGCCTTGCACCATGAGCGGCTCGCGTATCTGTTCGATGAGCTGCTGGGCGCGGTGCAGCTTGTTGCCCTTGGTCTCGGCGTGGAAATCAAAGTAGACGTAGTGCAGTCGGTCAAAAGAAGTTTGCACCTTGGACGCCTCGATGGTGTGGAATTTCTCGTCGGTGCGCTGGTCCGCCACGGTGCGCTCCTGGGGCGGCGACGATGCCAGCTTCTCGACAACCTGCTCGTACGCCTGCTTGGCCGCGCGTTCGCGGCCCTTCTGGTTCACCAGGTTGACCAGGTAGTTGTCGCCATAGAGCTGAATCTGCTCGCGGAAGTGCGCCGCGGCGGCCGGCAGCCCCGACTCGATGCTCTTGATCTGTAGCTTGGGTGTGTACTTGAGGCTGTTGATCTCGGCCCAGAAGGCCGGGATGCTGCCGCGGGTCTGGACGTAGGCGAAGAGTTGCGCCTCCTTCCCCTCGCCAGACCCGCCCAGCTTGCCACTCTGCATATCAGAGCTTCCCGCAAAGCCACCAAGGCTGCCGCCAGAGTCGTTCAGAACCAGGACCTGCTCCGTCTCGTTGTAGTTCGCCGCGTGCCCGTCCTGGTCCAGGCCGCGGTTGAGGTAGCGGGTGCCGGCGCGGTAGCGGGCGCGGCGTGTGATGAGCGCGAGGGTGACGGGGGTGCTCTTGAAGTGCGTCCTGTGAATCTCGAGCATTCCGAACATGACAGGGAGGATGAATGGGTCGGCAGCCTGCTGAGGGCCAGGGCTCGCGCGCGAGCCGGAATAGCGGAAGTTGATCAGGTCTGTCTGAACAAACCTGTTCCAGAAGAAGCGGTCGTCGGCCCGCATCCAAAGCGGCGTGTTATTGGAGTGCTGCGACTGGCGCTGGAAGCTGTTGGTGATGTCCAGGGAGTACGAGAAGTACAGCGGGCTTTCCTTGACGAAGGCCTTGAGCAGCACCAGAAATCTGTCCTCGTCCGAATCGCGGATCTGGCGCTCGCGCAGCGGGAGCAGGTCGGTGGAGATAACCCGGTAGACCATGTGGCCCTTGAGCCGCCCTACAGGCTGGGCCTTGGTGATGATGATGACATACTTGTCTGGGAGAGAACGACACGTCGTGTTAACAGATACAAGCTGGGCTGGAGCGAGGGCAGATTTGTCGTACCCAGTCTCAGGCTGATGATTCCCAGGATTCCGGCAATGCTAGAGACACGCTGCACCCGTTTACCGGACAAGGCATGGCCCTCAGTCAGGCGGATATCTCCCGTCGGCCGGTCGATGGCGAGGGCGGGGGCGTTGGGCGACGAGGGCGATGTGAAAGTATACGAATCGGCCGCCGCATGCACGTTGATGTCACGGTAGGGGACCGTCATGGTGGCGGCGCGGCTGGGCTGTTAGACGGACACTGGTGGCGCGCCGGGGATCAGGGGCTCCGGTGGCGGCAGGAGTAGGTGCTCTTAGGCAGGTAGGTAGGTGGTAGGGAGGGAGGCACTGATGCTGCTGGTGGGCGGGTTGATGGGACGGCGCGCAAGGCACGTCAGGTTGGTAGTCGGAGTATAGCGTTGGCGTTTTGGCTGTTCAGTCAGTCCATTGCCGTGCGCACATTCAGGATTGCTTTTCTGCTAGAGGCCAATCAGGTCAAGTGGTGTTGGCCGTGGGAGCTGGAGGCCAGGTTGCAGTGACGGTCCGCTTTACCGCCGCGCGAGGCTGTGCTGTGCTGTGCTCATAGGTGTGCTCATAGGTGTGCTCAGTTGCCAATTCAATGTGCTTCGTCACCAGGTTCGGGCTGTATTGCCCAGCTCCAGGCCTTGTTGGCCCACCCGACCCACCACTGCCTCCAGGTCCACCATCCAGGTCCATGCAAGCTTGTGATATCCCGTCCCCAAATTTGCATGGTGGCATCTCTGGCATGCAGGGCGCACGTCTGCCTGAGGGATCCGAGCTCCCACCGGCTCACGTGGAGCCTGTACTGCTGACATAACAGCGAGCTTGCACGCTTTGAGCTGCCTCGCGGCCGCACTGGCACACTGGGCTGGAGCCTGACGTGTGCAGTCCTTGTTCAGCCAGTCTGCTTCTTGTTTGCTCGGCTCCGCCCCCAGCGGCTGCATCACCTCGCCAGGCACTCGCTAAGCCCAGCCCGTTTCTCCCACGACGCCTCGCCCCCCAACAATTGACGACAACATCGCCGCCTTGAGCAAACAACACAGACACGAACACAAGCACCCGCTCTCTCTGTCGCCTGTATTTCAGCAGCCGATTCGCTCTGTTGGCTTCCGCATCACCTAGTAGAGAATTCTCTGGGGGATCGTCTGGGGAACTGCAGCTTCTTTGTCCAAGCAGGGCCTCTTTGTGTTTCGCCGCAGCGACAGCCGCCGCCGTCTCCGCTTCCGCCACTGTCCTGGGCTTTGCGACCACCATCACCAGCCTCCGCCGATCCAACTCGACTCGTCTCCGCCGATCCAACTCGACTCGTCTGCGCAGCATCTCCCGCTCGACGGCATCACAGCCTGTGTACACTATTGATAACATTACATTACATCCCGAGTCGCCGACGCCCCGAAACCAGCTCCCGAAGCCCCCGACCCCAACGCACCTTTAACTGCAATGGCGTCACGAGGACCCCCCGGTGCCCGCGGCATGGGCGGCAACCGCTTTGCGCAGTTTAAACTGGTCCTGCTCGGTGTGTTCCTGTCTACACCGCTGATGGCATTCGGCCCCTTCGTCTACGCGGCGCGCTCAAACTAACCTTGCATCCTTTCGTCTAGGTGAATCGGCCGTCGGCAAGGTACGCTGTCGCAAGGCTGTTTCATGCTTGGCACATGACCTGAAGACTTACTGACATGTTATCCGGCCCTCTCTACGCAGAGTTCCATAGTCCTCCGTTTTGTTAAGGTATGCAACTCGTTATTTTCTCAGTCTTTCTCATGAGGGTGTTCCCACTCGATGCACCCACCGGAGCGAACCCCCACTGACTTGGATGCTGTTCCGCATCGCAGGACCAATTCGACTCTTACCGGGAATCGACCATCGGCGCTGCATTCTTAACACAGACTATCTCGCTCGATGAAAACACGACGGTCAAGTTCGAAATCTGGGATACGGCGGGCCAGGAACGGTACAAGTCGTTGGCGCCCATGTACTACCGGAATGCGAACTGTGCTGTTGTCGTCTATGACATCACACAATCCGTGAGTCCTCCTAACCTTTTCGCCATGCTGGCCTTGACGTCGTTTACGTCGCTGCTTAGGTACTGATAGCCCCCGGAAACCGCAGGCATCACTTGACAAGGCCAAGGCATGGGTCAAGGAGCTGCAGCGACAGGCAAACGAGAACATCATCATCGCTCTCGCCGGAAACAAGCTCGACTTGGTCACAGAGCAGCCCGACAAGAGGGCAGTGTCGACGGCAGATGCCGAGGCCTACGCTCGTGAGGCAGGCTTACTCTTCTTCGAAACCTCGGCGAAGACGGCCGAGAACGTGCGCGAGCTTTTCACAGCTATTGCCAAGAAACTGCCACTTGACCAAGTCGGCCCCAGGCATGCCCGACCAGGCCAGCGGCCCGGGGTGAATCTAACCTCATCCGAGGGCGCAAACACCCAGACCAATGGGCCTTGCGCCTGCTAGATGGGCGCCTATGGGCGGGGTGTGCATTGCTGGACGCAACACAATCTCACCGAGCGACCTACCACACATTCTGGCCGTCATTGGCGCCAGGATGTGATCCGATGCGGGCGCGACCGCAAGTATTGATATCGGTCCGCTCTCGCGCGGTGCAAATGTGGTAGCGACGGTATGCGGAGTGGTTTCGACAGCGCGAAGCGCGTTCATGAACATGTGAGCCTGACGAATCGGGTACACAACGAGGTTCGGTATATCATGCATCAGCGGGAAGAGGCATGAGGAGTCGCATAGACTGGCCCCGGTGTTGTTGTTTTCACTGTGCTTTTGAACCACTGCCCGGAACAGCCCACCGGCGGCGGTTGGGGTGCTTATCGGAGGGAATGATAGACGTGTACCTTGACGGCGTCTTTCGCACGGTATTCGCAGTCAAGCCCCCTTCTTTTTAATATTCTTTTTTCCTTCTTTCTCTCCTTTGGTTTTCTCTCGTTGGGTTTACTTTGATGCGTCTCGGTCTCCTTCCTATCATATCCGCTCTGTCTGCCTTTCCCTGTGCTATTTGGAGTATATGCACTACCCATCTATCTACTGCAGTCTGATTCTTTGTGCCTAGCGGGGCAACCTCTTTGCTCACATGCAAGCGTTGAGTATGACCATGATAGGTGGCCGGTTTTCAGCAGTCCCATTACTCTCGAGGACATGCATTCCTTCAGGATAGGCAGCTACCTAGGTAGACAGGCATCAGGCAGGCCTCATGGCGCGATGCAGACGATGAGACTAAGACGCATTCCCATAGGAATAGATTGTCAGGATATCTACCTCCCCACGCAATATCACCTAGGTCGGTGTCTTTTGTGGCAGATGACACTGAAGACTGACATCTATCTGGCTGGCTGTAAGGGATGGATGGCCAGATCACGAGCCAGCATCTTCTGCCCAACACAAATGACGTCTCTCGCAAAATTCGGGGTCCGTGCTGTCGTGGTTCCATGGCTGATTTTCCATCCAACCGCCCGTTTAGCCGAAGTTTCCCCACCCTGCCGCAGCCAAGTCACTGAGAGCATTTTCACGCGGCCAAGCGCCGTCACGATCCCACCCATTGCCCAAACCAACTCCCTCAGCGCCGCACCCCGCTACACCACGCCCTCATGCTGCGGACATCGCTGAGATCCGTGAGGGGGGCCGGCGGCAGGTCCTTCGCGGCCGCCGCCAGCCGTCAATGGCAGCTTGGAGTTGCCGCCCCTGCTCGGGTTACCGTCAAGGTACGCACCACCACCACCACCCAACGAGCTCCTACCGAGCTGTATCGCCTGCCCGCACTGGCCGATAGCCCTAATCTCGGGACATGGGCCCCTTCTCGTCGGGCCTCAAGCTTGCTAACCAGACCTGCCGCCTGCTAGAGGTTCTTTGCCGATAAGAAAACACCCGAGCCCGCCGTCATCCCACCCAGCGAGACCAGGACAGCAGCTGCCAGCCAGGCACCCCCGCCTACATCGCAAGTCCGGGTCGAGGCCTCGCAAATACAGCCAGAGAATGTACCTCTTACACCTCCTGCAGCTCCCGCGGCCCCTCCCAAGAAGAAGAAGGGCTTCTTCCGCCGCCTGCGCAACTATATACTCACCATGACGTTCCTGGGCGCCCTGGCCTTTGGCGGTGGCGTCTGGTACTCGCGCATCAACGACAGCTTCCACGACTTCTTCACTGCTTACGTACCGTACGGTGAGCAGGCCGTGCTCTATCTCGAGGAGATGGACTTTCGCAAACGCTTTCCCCGCATAGCCCAGCGTGAGGCTTCCAGCAACCCCAGGGACTCGGATGCCAGCGTCCGCATTCCCGCCCAGAGCGGTGCGTCATGGCGTGTTGCCGATACCGAGCCACCCGTGAAGCGCGAGTCCAGCGCAGTCAAGACGGAGGGGGCCAAGCAGGCAGCCAAGGCCAAGGCCCCTCCCAAGGAGTATCCAGCACCCGAGGTGAAGCAGCCGGCTCCTGCCAAGAAGCCGACAGCCTCGCCCAAGGCCAAGGCTTCTCAAGTCGCTGCTCCTGCGCCTGCTGCTGCGCCTGCTGCTGCCGCATTCACTCCGCCCGAGGTTGATGAGCCCTCTCGCTGGCCGCCAGCCTCGCCCATCGACCCGCTTGCGGTTAACGATGCGAACGAGCCCGTGGTGCAGGATCTGGTCAAGCTCCTCAACGACATCATCACCGTCGTTAACGCCGACGGTGCCAATGCGCGCTACGGACCCACGATCGGAAAGGCCAAGCAGGCCGCCGAGCAGCTCGGCGGCAAGATCCGCGAAATGAAGAAGGTGGCACAGGACGAGGCGGCCGTCACAGTCAAAGAGCAGATCGACAAGCTCGAGACCCACGCGGCGGATCTTATTTCGCGCATTGAGGGGCACATGACTGCGCAGGAGTCCCGGTGGCGTGAGGAATTCGAGGCCGAGATGGCCCGGGCTCAGGAAATATTCGACGCTCGGCTCAAGACCATGACGGAGCGAGAGAGGGAGGTTGCCGAGGCCAAGATGCAAAACAGGCTTCTCGAGCAGGCTCTTGAGCTGCAGCGCCAGTTCAAGGAGGAAGTCAAACAGCGCGTCGAAACGGAGCGCGAGGGCCGTCTCGGCCAGCTTGAGAGTCTTAGCACCGCGGTCAGCGAGCTCGATCAGCTCACCTCGAGCCTGGACGAGGTCGTAGACGTGACCAAGAAGACGCAGCAGCTCAACGTTGCCGTTGATGCGGTCAGGGCCAGCCTCGAGGCATCCTCTACGGGGCCTGCGGCGCCTCCTCGCCCCTTCATCCGTGAGCTGGCGGCACTCAAGGAGATCGCGCGGGGCGACGACGTGGTAGATGCAGCCATCGCGAGCATCCACCCCTCGGCGTACCAACGGGGAATCCCGAGCACTGCAGAGCTGATTGACCGGTTCCGGCGCGTGGCGACCGAGGTGCGCAAGGCGGCCCTGCTGCCAAACGACGCCGGAGTGGCTTCTCACGCGTCCTCGTACGTGCTGAGCAAGGTCTTGTTCACCAAGCAGCCTGGCCCTGCCGCAGAAGCAGGCGGCGACGACGTCGAGAGCGTCCTTACGCGCGCACAAACCTACCTGGAGCAGGGCGAGCTGGATGCTGCAGCCCGCGAGGTCAACGGCCTAAAGGGCTGGGCCAAGACGCTCAGCCGGGACTGGCTTGCAGAGGTCAGGAAGGTGCTGGAGGTCCGGCAGGCTCTCGACGTGAGTTCCCTTGTGCACTTTACATGGCTACTTGGACGTGCTAACCATTGCTTGCCACCGCAGGTCATCCAAACCGAGGCGAGACTTCGGATCCTCAAGGTGGAATAAAGTCTCACTCGACGGCAGCCCTCACAGCAGCCTGCCACAAAGATGCCCCCGGGCCCTCCTACGTTGGCTCCAGGTTCAAAATTCCCTTGGTCGTTTCTCGTCCAGCATGTGTATACGTATACTTTAAGCCCGTCTTCGTTGTTTTGCAGAGGTGCCCACGAAAAGAAGACCGAATTCTGGACTGCGTTTCTTTCTGTTCTTTATTATTCCTGGACGGACGCCCTTATCATGATCCTCTTACCCCCTCAGGAACCGAGAGGCATGCGGCCCTGGGTCCTGTCCAGCGTGTACGAGGATGGAGCGGTGAGGTAGAAAGGAAAAAGAATAATAGACCATGAACTAGACGCAGACAGGACGGTACATGGACTTCTCCCCCCTGACCAGGCTGCCACACTGTACGACCAGTTCATCACATCTAACGCGCCGTCCCGAAGCAGGCGCTGCCGACCCGCTGGGGCGAGGTCGAGACTGGTCACGGCGAGTCTCTGCCCCATTGCCGTCACCCTCGCGGATTTTCCCCAAGCCTGTCTCGCACTTGTACTCGTACTCGGCCAGTACACCGGCATAGTCGCAAGTGTGCGGCACAGACAAACATTGGCGAAATCTGCGTCCCACCGCACACGGGTGCAACCATCACTGGCTGGCTGCCTCTGCGGTTTTCCCACCCCCCAGTCCAAGGCGACATGTACTGCTAAAAAGTAGCAGGAGACGCGCAAACCCCCCAGCTCTCGGCGGTTCCACTCGTCCCCCCTCTGCAAAGATTGCCACCCCGGAAGCATGTGAGGGAGGGGTGTGGGTGCTTCCCACTCGTCGCGTCTTGTCATCCAGAGCGACCACCCCCCCTCAGCCAGCCTCTTGGGATCCCGACGCACTCCCACCATCAGGTCAGCTTTGAGGGAGTGGTCGCGCATGGACAGGACATGTTCGCCCCGGTATCGTATGCTTTTTGGCCACCTGTAGATGGCCGGGGAGGGGTATAGCCGCAGTCTACTGGACCGCCTCCTGGCACCGCCATGTGTCCTGCTCATAGCCAACGTCAGGCTTCGGTCAGCCTTGTGGCGGGAGTATGTCACTAGTCCCAGTGGCCTCCTATCATTGCCACTCCTCATCCTGTTGGGTGCTCTCTCTCTCTCTCT